GATGACATTTGAATCAATATTTTTACTCCATTGCTATTCTACATGTAGAGACATGTCTATTCTTCCACTGTTTCATAACTATACGACACCTTTGGGCAAAGTACTTATACCAAGGAAAAGAAAACGCAAAACCGGAATTTTATGACTGATCGGGCCACCGTTCCTTTTTACCACTTCACCAAGTCTATACATGCTTCTTACAAATTCGAGCGATCCAATGTTGTCACATGCGTCCATGTAACAAACTGCTTCGCCTTTTTAATGACTCGTACTGTTTATATCTGCTCAGAAACGCTGCTAAGAATCTCCAGAGATTTTCTGAAGGATGCAAGATAAGACAGTATGGTCACCTTTACAGAAACTGCTTGATGCTGGCGGAGAACGACGGTAAGTGACCCGCGTGCATGTTCAATGCGTCGTGCTGCTTCGAAACGTGGTACTGCACGCTTATGGAAGAAAAATAGTCGTTGGCTTTTTAGTACTTCTCAGCAATTTCGCACAAAATCTCTCAATGAAAGTTGAACATCAGCAAATTGCTTCCAGCTAATAAACGAACCTCCGCTAAAGTTCTAATTGCCAGAATGATGTGCACTTTGCCTACATCCGGCCAGTCGACCTTCTAACTGTCTTAGTGTCCAAGCCAACTGTTTTTGATTAGATTGCACCACTAAATCATTGGCTCTCTTTCTGTTTTCTTTTTAACAAAACGCCTGTACAGCACACGTTTCGAAGCAGCGCAACCCATTGAACATGCACGTGGGTAACTTACCGCCGTTCTCCGCCATCATCGCGAGCACTTGTTGAAAAGGTCACCATACTATCTTGTCTTGAATCCCTCAAAAATTTTTTGGAGATTACTGGCACAACGTTTCTGAGCAGATACAAAAGTACGAGGCATTGGAAAAGTCGGAGCAGTTCATTATGGACGCATGTGACAACATTGGACCGAAGACATGCTTATTTGATGAAGTGGTGAAAAGACCCAATGACCCGATCAGTCATAAAAACCCTGTTTTGTGTTTTCTTTTCCTTGGCAAAAGTACCTTGCTCGAAATTGTCGTGTAGTTATGGAACAGGGGAGGAATAGACATGTCTAAGTGTAGAAGAGCAAGAGAGTAAAAAGTATTGATTGAAATGTCATTTTATTCAAAATCGTATGCAGACAACACAGGCACAGACTGGAGTACCCGATCTTTCTGTAAATCCGGAAATCCCAAGTTTCAAGGTGTGTCGTGTTATGAAACGCACTGTATTTATGTGTTCGGTGCATCGTGCATCCCTTTAGCCAATGCACTCAAAATCATGCCGCTTAATCACTCACAGGCGGTTTTCAAAGCACATCACCATCAAAATCCTAATAACTTCACACTTTTAACCGCCCATAGCTTTTCCTAGAGAAGCGTTTAGCAGATAAGGAAGGTAAATTTGGAATAAGCTTTTTAAACGCATCTAACGACATTCATATCATTTCGGTTCGACACTGCAATCTGTATCCCTCCCTTGTAAGAATCTGGATCTTTAGTTCACGAGGTTTTCACATCAGACGTGCACACTGAAAATTCGCTTTTTTGTTTTAAAACACGAAAATTTTCGAGCTTTAAGTATTGATGGCTGGTCCTAAGAGATAGAGTTATACAACAAGCTTTAATAAATATAACCTAAATTCTATCCTCCTACAAGAAGTTTTCAAAAAATGTTGAATTGAGCGCTTCTTTTTGGGGTCATAATGAATTAGATAATCCAGAAGACTAGCGCTTGCAGAAATCCGAAACGCTTGGCTGTACTTGAGATTCGTTTCGTTATACTAGATGTTTATGTGGAACCTAGCATTATTTCAGCGAAAGTATGAATTTGTTGAATTGACCAAGAAATGCAGCAGTATGGAAGCCAAATGTGTGATGTGTGAGCGAATTCTGAGGGGTTTTACACTCGATTTATCTTTTTTCGATTTTTTGGTATTTATGGCTTTTTTGATATTTGGTCGATGTTCATGCGTCGAATATATTGGGGCCCACCGGTAGGTTGTGTGTGCCGCCAACTCGGACAATACAACACCGCTGGGTCTTATGTCTAAACACTGTAGGCAGGGCTCGGCACGAGCTGGCACCTGGGAAATTTCAAAACGAAGTCCCGTTTGCTTCAAAATTCCGTACGAAGTCCCCCTTGACCTATTTTGAAGACCCGTCATCAATTTTAAATTATGTAGAGGTATGTAGTAGGATTTTCATGCATGCTGATTTCATGTAACAACGTTTCAAAGCTTTTTGAGCTTTTTAAATGGTTGCAATTCAGAGAAGCAGAAAAGGCCGATTTCGACTGCGGAGCACACCGAATAATTTTCAGATGGCTATAAAACGCTGAAAAGAAAACGCTGTGAAATTGCGTTTTGAAATTGTTTTTCCTCTGTATGTAAACTTTTACAGTGTAGATACATTTTATGTAAAAAAGTATGAAAACTTATGTGTGAAAGTGTCGGTGCCAGCTCAGCCGGCACCTAGCTGGCACAGTGCCAGCTAATTCAGAAAAGAGTTAGCACAGCTTTCATTCACATAAGTTTTCATGAATGGGCCATTGTTTGGGTCCCTCAACGCGCATGCACACACCAAATTTGGTGTCATACTACTATTGCGTTTTAGCTGAAAACAGCGCCTTTGTTTGTTTGATGGACAGCATGCCGGTGGCATGCCGGCGGCATTCTTGCGGCTCTTCTACGCCCCGGACTCTGGAAAAACGATATCTCCTTTGCTTTCCGCCTTAAAAACGATATCCAGCTTAACCCGGTGCCAGCTGTGCCGAGCCCTGATTGTAGGTGTATCTAATGAGATTACGGCACATATTTTGAGACATCTACTTCAATTAGAAGACTGCCTTTTGGACCATATGACCCGTGATCGGAAACAACGAGAAAATAGGCATTGATGGGTCATATGTTCAAAACGGTGGAAATTTATGGATGGGGCTTTGTTGTGAATGTGTTGAAGTCATCTTGGAAGTTCCTTTACTCCATCGAAGAATCGAAGCCTTTTCAGAATGTAGGAATAGATTGGATTTTAGATTTTAGATTTTAGATTTTTGGATTACCAAAAAAGATAGTGTTCTTTATGGTTCTAAAGCATGACTAGATTGTTTCTCTGTAAGAAAATCGTCGTTTTAAAAAAGAAAAATTTATATAATGAGAAAAATGATAGTTTTTTGATAGAAAGTAGGTTTTTTGTTTTTTCGCCTGACGTAAATTGTGTGAGTTCGCCGCAACTCGCAAACTCACAGACGCCGTCGGCAAAGGTGCCACCACCTCGACTTGGTAGGGGCACGTCGAGATGCCGGCAGCTCCCTCTCTCAAAGGAGTACGCTATTTCCCGTGCTCTCTGACCTGCCGGCAGCTGCCATCTCGCAGATTTCGACGAGCTGCCGGCAGGTTGCCGGCAACTGACATCGCGAAGTTGCCGGCAGCTCCTCCTGCGCTTCCAGATATTTTCCTAAAGAAGGAATTCGGGAACCGCAGACTTTTATGGAGTTTTCTATAGAGTCGAGGCGGCATCTTTATCGAGAAAATTTTTTGGAAAAAGGCCTGGGACGGCCTAAATTTGGGGTCTCGCTTTCTGGCCACCTCACGGAAAAGGTGCCAGCGACCTGCCGACGAGACCTGCCGCCAGGTCGGGGGGATTACTACCGGCTCAGGAGTTCACCGATCTGCGTCGCATCGCCATACCTTTGGTTCGGAGTAGAATGGACGATTTCTAAATCCAAGGGCGCGCTGTTCGGCTCAGCCGGCCGGGCGCGTCTTCTGAATCATAGAAGTCCGTTTGGATACGTTGAGCGCGGTAGGCATTCATTGAAAGATTTTTACGTAAGGTAAGTCATTCAGTGTGCAATGAATTTGCGCACACAGTGAACTACTGTGAAAATCAAAGAAAAATTCGTGAAGTCTGGCCCCCTAACTACCGTGTCCATACGGGGAACATATATCGGGCTTATTGCACATCAGGTTCAGTCTCTTAGCCGAACGTGATATGAAATGAACGGGGTCCTTGGATTCAGAATTCATCTACCCCAAAATATAGCGTTGTGACGCGGGATTCGGTAAAATCCGTTGGAGTTTCATGAATTTATTGACGATTTATGAGCTGTTATGTGGATATCTGGATGGCTAATTTGAAAGATGAGTTCCTCAAAATAATTATGGTTTCTGAGCAAATGCAAAAAATACATGGCGTTTTGTATGCGTTTCTCGAAAATTATGACACCTTTGAAGGTGTCGCTTAATGCAAGTTCGGAGGATAAGGTTATACAACACTGGTAATAATCGTTATAACTTCTACTACATTGATTGATTTGCACATAAGGGAATCTTACTCAGTGGTCCTTTTCCTCTTCTCAAACTTCTGACACTTTCTAGAAAGTTCCAAGGCAGCACAAAGTACAGTTTTTCCTCATCATGACAAAGCCGATAAAAAAAACAAATCACACTACCCATCAAGATAGAAAAGACTTCTTGAGTAGCTGACAAGGAAACGATACTTGATGTCCGTGGTCTTTTGAGATGAGGTGTACACCATTACACTCGACTTGGAGCGTTGATTCCGAATCGACTTCCTTTTTTTTGCTAATCGTTTCTCCGAAAGAAGGATTTTCGCGCCAAAAAAGATGTGGTCGGAATGCCAAAACTACCGCTAGGATATGGTGCAGTGGCTAGTGCGATAGCCTCGCTAGTTAATGCAGGTTTAGATTCGAATTCTTTTGTGTTTTTCAGTTCTGCATTGCCCCTGTCAAGTTTCTTTTTGAAAGATATGCATCCTCGACCATATTTCTCTTAAGTGACCATTAACGCACAAACCCTTCATAACTTCCCTTAGAGAAACGATAAGCAGAAACGGAAGCCAGATTCGGAATCAGTGTTCCAAGACGAATGTGACGGCATACGTTTCACCCGGAAAGGCCACGGACACCAAGTATCGTTTCCTTGTGAGAAAATTTTAGATTCACTAATCAACAACGCTCACCTGTTTTTGTTCGGCCTCCATCATCGGTAGTGCTCTCTTCGGTGGCTCCGGTCGTTGCTTCGGTTTCAGGCTCCCATCGTCGAGTGGTTTTCGTTCGGCCTTCACCATCGGTTGTGGTCTCTTCAACGGTTTCAGTTGTCGGATATTCTGGTGTCACTGGTCTCCACGGTGTTCGCGTCTTCGTTCGGCCACCATCATCGGTTGTGGTCTCTTCAACGGTTTCAGTTGTCGGATATTCTGGTGTCACTGGTCTCCACGGTGTTTGCGTCTTCGTTCGGCCACCATCATCGGTTGTGGTCTCTTCAACGGTTTCAGTTGTCGGATATTCTGGTGTCACTGGTCTCCACGGTGTTTGCGTCTTCGTTCGGCCACCGTCATCGGTTGTGGTCTCTTCAACGGTTTCAGTTGTCGGATATTCTGGTGTCACTGGTCTCCACGGTGTTTGCGTCTTCGTTCGGCCACCGTCATCGGTTGTGGTCTCTTCAACGGTTTCAGTTGTCGGATATTCTGGTGTCACTGGTCTCCAAGGTGTTTGCGTCTTCGTTCGGCCACCATCATCGGTTGTGGTCTCTTCAACGGTTTCAGTTGTCGGATATTCTGGTGTCACTGGTCTCCACGGTGTTTGCGTCTTCGTTCGGCCACCATCATCGGTTGTGGTCTCTTCAACGGTTTCAGTTGTCGGATATTCTGGTGTCACTGGTCTCCAAGGTGTTTGCGTCTTCGTTCGGCCACCATCATCGGTTGTGGTCTCTTCAACGGTTTCAGTTGTCGGATATTCTGGTGTCACTGGTCTCCACGGTGTTTGCGTCTTCGTTCGGCCACCGTCATCGGTTGTGGTCTCTTCAACGGTTTCAGTTGTCGGATATTCTGGTGTCACTGGTCTCCACGGTGTTTGCGTCTTCGTTCGGCCACCGTCATCGGTTGTGGTCTCTTCAACGGTTTCAGTTGTCGGATATTCTGGTGTCACTGGTCTCCACGGTGTTTGCGTCTTCGTTCGGCCACCGTCATCGGTTGTGGTCTCTTCAACAGTTTCAGTTGTCGGATATTCTGGTGTCACTGGTCTCCACGGTGTTCGCGTCTTCGTTCGGCCACCATCATCGGTTGTGGTCTCTTCAACGGTTTCAGTTGTCGGATATTCTGGTGTCACTGGTCTCCACGGTGTTTGCGTCTTCGTTCGGCCACCGTCATCGGTTGTGGTCTCTTCAACGGTTTCAGTTGTCGGATATTCTGGTGTCACTGGTCTCCACGGTGTTTGCGTCTTCGTTCGGCCACCATCATCGGTTGTGGTCTCTTCAACGGTTTCAGTTGTCGGATATTCTGGTGTCACTGGTCTCCAAGGTGTTTGCGTCTTCGTTCGGCCACCATCATCGGTTGTGGTCTCTTCAACGGTTTCAGTTGTCGGATATTCTGGTGTCACTGGTCTCCACGGTGTTTGCGTCTTCGTTCGGCCACCATCATCGGTTGTGGTCTCTTCAACGGTTTCAGTTGTCGGATATTCTGGTGTCACTGGTCTCCACGGTGTTTGCGTGTTCGTTCGGCCACCATCATCGGTTGTGGTCTCTTCAACGGTTTCAGTTGTCGGATATTCTGGTGTCACTGGTCTCCACGGTGTTTGCGTCTTCGTTCGGCCACCGTCATCGGTTGTGGTCTCTTCAACGGTTTCAGTCGTCGGATATTCTGGTGTCACTGGTCTCCACGGTGTTTGCGTCTTCGTTCGGCCACCATCATCGGTTGTGGTCTCTTCAACGGTTTCAGTTGTCGGATATTCTGGTGTCACTGGTCTCCACGGTGTTTGCGTCTTCGTTCGGCCACCATCATCGGTTGTGGTCTCTTCAACGGTTTCAGTTGTCGGATATTCTGGTGTCACTGGTCTCCACGGTGTTTGCGTGTTCGTTCGGCCACCATCATCGGTTGTGGTCTCTTCAACGGTTTCAGTTGTCGGATATTCTGATGTCACTGGTCTCCACGGTGTTTGCGTCTTCGTTCGGCCACCATCATCGGTTGTGGTCTCTTCAACGGTTTCAGTTGTCGGATATTCTGGTGTCACTGGTCTCCACGGTGTTTGCGTGTTCGTTCGGCCACCATCATCGGTTGTGGTCTCTTCAACGGTTTCAGTTGTCGGATATTCTGGTGTCACTGGTCTCCACGGTGTTTGCGTCTTCGTTCGGCCACCATCATCGGTTGTGGTCTCTTCAACGGTTTCAGTTGTCGGATATTCTGGTGTCACTGGTCTCCACGGTGTTTGCGTCTTCGTTCGGCCACCGTCATCGGTTGTGGTCTCTTCAACGGTTTCAGTTGTCGGATATTCTGGTGTCACTGGTCTCCACTGTGTTTGCGTCTTCGTTCGGCCACCATCATCGGTTGTGGTCTCTTCAACGGTTTCAGTTGTCGGATATTCTGGTGTCACTGGTCTCCACTGTGTTTGCGTCTTCGTTCGGCCACCATCATCGGTTGTGGTCTCTTCAACGGTTTCAGTTGTCGGATATTCTGGTGTCACTGGTCTCCACGGTGTTTGCGTGTTCGTTCGGCCACCATCATCGGTTGTGGTCTCTTCAACGGTTTCAGTTGTCGGATATTCTGGTGTCACTGGTCTCCACGGTGTTTGCGTGTTCGTTCGGCCACCATCATCGGTTGTGGTCTCTTCAACGGTTTCAGTTGTCGGATATTCTGGTGTCACTGGTCTCCACGGTGGTTGCGTCTTCGTTCGGCCACCGTCATCGGTTGTGGTCTCTTCAACGGTTTCAGTCGTCGGATATTCTGGTGTCACTGGTCTCCACGGTGTTTGCGTCTTCGTTCGGCCACCATCATCGGTTGTGGTCTCTTCAACGGTTTCAGTTGTCGGATATTCTGGTGTCACTGGTCTCCACGGTGTTTGCGTCTTCGTTCGGCCACCATCATCGGTTGTGGTCTCTTCAACGGTTTCAGTTGTCGGATATTCTGGTGTCACTGGTCTCCACGGTGTTTGCGTGTTCGTTCGGCCACCATCATCGGTTGTGGTCTCTTCAACGGTTTCAGTTGTCGGATATTCTGGTGTCACTGGTCTCCACGGTGTTTGCGTCTTCGTTCGGCCACCGTCATCGGTTGTGGTCTCTTCAACAGTTTCAGTTGTCGGATATTCTGGTGTCACTGGTCTCCACGGTGTTCGCGTCTTCGTTCGGCCACCATCATCGGTTGTGGTCTCTTCAACGGTTTCAGTTGTCGGATATTCTGGTGTCACTGGTCTCCACGGTGTTTGCGTCTTCGTTCGGCCACCGTCATCGGTTGTGGTCTCTTCAACGGTTTCAGTTGTCGGATATTCTGGTGTCACTGGTCTCCACGGTGTTTGCGTCTTCGTTCGGCCACCATCATCGGTTGTGGTCTCTTCAACGGTTTCAGTTGTCGGATATTCTGGTGTCACTGGTCTCCAAGGTGTTTGCGTCTTCGTTCGGCCACCATCATCGGTTGTGGTCTCTTCAACGGTTTCAGTTGTCGGATATTCTGGTGTCACTGGTCTCCACGGTGTTTGCGTCTTCGTTCGGCCACCATCATCGGTTGTGGTCTCTTCAACGGTTTCAGTTGTCGGATATTCTGGTGTCACTGGTCTCCACGGTGTTTGCGTGTTCGTTCGGCCACCATCATCGGTTGTGGTCTCTTCAACGGTTTCAGTTGTCGGATATTCTGGTGTCACTGGTCTCCACGGTGTTTGCGTCTTCGTTCGGCCACCGTCATCGGTTGTGGTCTCTTCAACGGTTTCAGTCGTCGGATATTCTGGTGTCACTGGTCTCCACGGTGTTTGCGTCTTCGTTCGGCCACCATCATCGGTTGTGGTCTCTTCAACGGTTTCAGTTGTCGGATATTCTGGTGTCACTGGTCTCCACGGTGTTTGCGTCTTCGTTCGGCCACCATCATCGGTTGTGGTCTCTTCAACGGTTTCAGTTGTCGGATATTCTGGTGTCACTGGTCTCCACGGTGTTTGCGTGTTCGTTCGGCCACCATCATCGGTTGTGGTCTCTTCAACGGTTTCAGTTGTCGGATATTCTGATGTCACTGGTCTCCACGGTGTTTGCGTCTTCGTTCGGCCACCATCATCGGTTGTGGTCTCTTCAACGGTTTCAGTTGTCGGATATTCTGGTGTCACTGGTCTCCACGGTGTTTGCGTGTTCGTTCGGCCACCATCATCGGTTGTGGTCTCTTCAACGGTTTCAGTTGTCGGATATTCTGGTGTCACTGGTCTCCACTGTGTTTGCGTCTTCGTTCGGCCACCATCATCGGTTGTGGTCTCTTCAACGGTTTCAGTTGTCGGATATTCTGGTGTCACTGGTCTCCACTGTGTTTGCGTCTTCGTTCGGCCACCATCATCGGTTGTGGTCTCTTCAACGGTTTCAGTTGTCGGATATTCTGGTGTCACTGGTCTCCACGGTGTTTGCGTGTTCGTTCGGCCACCATCATCGGTTGTGGTCTCTTCAACGGTTTCAGTTGTCGGATATTCTGGTGTCACTGGTCTCCACGGTGTTTGCGTGTTCGTTCGGCCACCATCATCGGTTGTGGTCTCTTCAACGGTTTCAGTTGTCGGATATTCTGGTGTCACTGGTCTCCACGGTGTTTGCGTCTTCGTTCGGCCACCGTCATCGGTTGTGGTCTCTTCAACGGTTTCAGTCGTCGGATATTCTGGTGTCACTGGTCTCCACGGTGTTTGCGTCTTCGTTCGGCCACCATCATCGGTTGTGGTCTCTTCAACGGTTTCAGTTGTCGGATATTCTGGTGTCACTGGTCTCCACGGTGTTTGCGTCTTCGTTCGGCCACCATCATCGGTTGTGGTCTCTTCAACGGTTTCAGTTGTCGGATATTCTGGTGTCACTGGTCTCCACGGTGTTTGCGTGTTCGTTCGGCCACCATCATCGGTTGTGGTCTCTTCAACGGTTTCAGTTGTCGGATATTCTGGTGTCACTGGTCTCCACGGTGTTTGCGTCTTCGTTCGGCCACCATCATCGGTTGTGGTCTCTTCAACGGTTTCAGTTGTCGGATATTCTGGTGTCACTGGTCTCCACGGTGTTTGCGTCTTCGTTCGGCCACCGTCATCGGTTGTGGTCTCTTCAACGGTTTCAGTTGTCGGATATTCT